GCAAGCTCAAGCAGGCGATCATTCAAATACATTCCAGTTCTACTTGAATGTACACAATTGGATGCGGGTAGCAAAGCGACTAGTTCACATTGAAGTAGGTAGGAGTCAGTGTCTCTCTGAGCAGAAATGTAGAAATGTTAGGTGCATATCTCGCCGCGGACCGTCAAGGTCACTGCACATTTTCTTTTTTCCATTGTAAACACGTCTCAGCTCATTTCCCAAAAAAACGTAACGAGATACCCGTACCCTGGATAGTATCTCGATACGGGCGATACATCGTGAAAGTATTTCATTACTGAGCTACAAATACATTTTTGAAAACATTCTGCACATAGAAATACAGATACTCAAAAGTATCTCTGAAATACTATCGCACTACTCTTGTATCTCGATACTGCCCAGCCCTTTCACGAGCGCACGATAAGCGTGGCGTGTAGTCATGACTAGTCATAACATAAAAATCATGACATGCATGTCTTGATTTCTACGTTAGGGTCTGTCACTTACGTTCACCATGTAGTCATGTTATGCCACACCAGTTTTGCATAGTGTCATGTGAAGGAAACCGCCACAGGGGCAGCAAGACCATGATATGTAAATGATAACATTCATGACATACATTTCACAATTTTCATGTTACGACTAGTCAGTTAAGCTCGTCATACAGTCATGTTATGCCACACCAATTCGGTATATTGATATCATTATCGAGACGACCTGGAGAGCTAAAAGTCGTAGATAGATAGATAGATAGATAGATAGATAGATAGATAGATAGATAGATAGATAGATAGATAGATAGATAGATAGATAGATAGATAGATAGATAGATAGATAGATAGATAGATAGATAGATAGATAGATAGATAGATAGATAGATAGATAGATAGATAGATAGATAGATAGATAGATAGATAGATAGATGATAGATAGATAGATAGATAGATAGATAGATAGATAGATAGATAGATAGATAGATAGATAGATAGATAGATAGATAGATAGATACGCTCAATGTCACCGAAGTTCGCCAAGAATTGCTTCACGTTTTAAAAAATGGCAGCATATCCACGGAGTGAGTGATGGAGAGTGGGCGGAAACATCCGTCCGTCCATGCGTCCGTCTGTATGATCGTCCGTGCGTCCATCAACCCGTGTGTTCGTGCTTCCGCACGTCCATCTGTGCGTCCGTCCCTGCGTTCGTCTATGCGTCCATCCGTCCATGCAGCCATCCGTGCGTCCGTCCATGCATCTGTCTGTGTCCGTTCATCCATCTATTCAACACTCCAAGTACCACTATCTCGCATCTTTTCATCATATATTCGGTGTATAAAAGCACCGCCATCCAGTGGACATTCCAAGGACGAAACGAGAGGTGGCACACGAACACTTTCTTACGGCTTGCGCTTCGTGTCTACTTCCCACCTTTAACCACCTCGAGTTCGTGGTATATACTAGTTCACTGTATTCATGGCACTGAGGCTCAACGCTCGCTGAACATTAAATCCCAGGAGGTTGCGCCCAGCGAGTATAACGTAGCAAGCCTTTCTTTTCAGATAGTGCTCAATGTACATGCCAATGGCTGCTAATGGGAAATGAGAGACAGGAGAATTCGGCTTTTAGTTAACGCGCGCGCTGCGCTTTTTTCATTGTTCAACAACGCACAGGAGAAATCTCCCACCGGCACCCCCTTGCAGGTCAAAACGTAAGACTGGTTACGCACTACGACTACTACGAGGGACGAACGGGTGCCGCTTTAAGGAGCTTCGCCCCTAAAAACGTACGCCATCTCTCGCTAAAGAAAAGTTAGAGTAACATACTAAGCGGCGCATAGGTCGACCGGAAGTTCCGTTCATCACGGGCACCTCTCCTGATGTTAATGAATCTTTGCAAGTGGAGCACACCATGTAGTTTCTGTTGCTGTTACTCGTCCCGAACTCTTGTTGGAGCACGCCAAGCGGGTTCATCGACACGCCACGCGAGAGCACGTGGGTTCCGTGCGCGCCTGCAGAGCCTCGTTCCCCGACGCCATCACATGATTGTGAGAGAGTGTAGAGGTGAGAGGTTGCATCGTCTTACTCAGCCCCTTGCAAAGGCCGGACGGAACACGTGTGCGCTTTCTGACGGTGCATGGGCCAACTGTTCCGCATGCGGAGGAAGGGTGGTCAAACCGCACACAACCGTAATGAACTCCTAAGATGCTTGGCTTCTAAAAATGATGTAGACATGTATGCTGATCGACGGGAAAGTTTGAGAGCACCCATGCACAGCTAATTGTGGCAAAGAGCGTATGCTACGATTTATCATCTTCCTGCGAGCGCATGGTGCCAACTCGATGTTTAACGCTGAGTGACAACAACGATTGATCTAGCTGAAGAATTTTCATGTGCTTTGCGACAATAATAATATGCAGGGGGAGCATTACCGTGTGTTTATACCGAACATGAAGTCGCAAATATGTGACATATTCGCACTGAGGGAAAAAGTAAGCTAACTGATTAAGGATACCGTTTTTCCCCGTTGACTTGCCGATACGACATGCAGTGCTTCATTGCTTATGAAGTAAAAATATTGTAAAAAGCTTTCTCCGCATGCACGCATATTCTTCCTATGTCTGGTTTCGCTCTCGCACGTCTTCCCTTCCGACTCACCGTAGTGAAAGAGAAACGGACTTAAGCGGTGAATTGGGAACTCGGCGATCGCACGCGCCATTGAACTTGCAGGACGGGCAGTATACAAATATCCGATCGCAACTTCGTCAAATCGAGATGGCGGTACATGCCTTTTGTACCGATGTCAAAGAAGAAAACTTCGGCAGTCTTCACGACTTTTACATGTCCGCACAATTTCCTCAAAGCACAAAATGCAGCCCTGAAACCAACGAAAAAAGTGGGACTGGCACAACGAATATGAGGCAGGCGGCAGCCACAAAGTTCAAATAGATGGCAGACAAGGACGATGCATACGAGCGCGTCACTAAGTGCGCATGTGCAGCATTACTTTTAAATGTGAATACACTTTATAAGCGACCCCAAACCATCCACCGCCGTCGGCAGCGTCCGCAGTCTTCTCTCTATTTTTAAAAGAAAGAGGACTTGGCGGGCCGCAGCGCGACGCTCTACCGAATAGCCACGGACGCGACGCTGATATCGGTGTCAGTAACGCGCCTTATACCCCTTCCCCCTTCGCTCGCTCCTCCGCTCTCCTCACCTCGCTGCAGCTGCGCGCGCATCCTCTCTCGCGCGCGCCCGCCTTCTCTCTCAGTCTCCCGTCGAGAGCGGGTCGTGAGGGGGAGTAAAGTCAAAATCCGTTGGCATTCGCCAGTGAGTTAACGTAAACTCCCCCGTGTGATCAAATTGCCATTCCCAGGAACCATTACACCATAAAGGCACCATAGTGTGATTAATAAATATAATAGTGCGAATTAATAAATACCCCTCATAGCATCACCCCGTGTATTCACACTTAACCATGTTCACCTTCGGGGAAATGCTTGGAGTTTTTTGTTTCTTTGATTTACACAGATACTTGTTCCGACAATGCCATTTAGGGGATCAGTGTGGGCAGCTTTGGTTTTGAATGTCTGTTTGTGAAAATATTTGCATTCACAATCACTTCTTCACCTCTTTTGGTGTTTAGTAGCGTTTTAGTGGTCTGTATATCCATAAAATATTTTGTAATTTTTAACAAACTAAATTCAGGCTCTCCACGTCGGTGTTATTTCGGCAGATTGAAGAAACGTTCCTTGAGCATGATCCACGTCATCCGCAATATGGGAAGAGGGAATTATCCCGTAAACTGCGTGTTTCGGGATCGAGAATTTGCAGCCCGCAAAAACGCCGAGCTTTCTTATCGAACAAAGTTTTGTTCTTGCATGAAAATGCACATCATAATTTTTAAAACCGTCAGCGAAATAAAACTTGAGGTAATAGAACACCCTCCCAAAATAGATATTTTTTATGAGGAAACTCTGGCGCTAGTGTCTACGGGAAGCTGCAACGCACGGCGTTCCAGCGAGCATGGGAATGGTGGGTAGTACACACATTGTCTAATCTTGATATTTTACGTTCCTTTTGTTTCGCGTGGCTTTAAGCTGCTTGATCACGAAATAACAATCGGCAAATGTTCAGCAGTTGCGTTTCGTTAACTTAATCTTTTAGGCTTACCATTTCAAATCGGCTTAAGAAGTGCAAAGGGGTTTGTTCTTTCTTTCAAAACAAACCCGAAACACATCGATAAAAGAACCACAAGTGCGATTCGCCACCCGCCATTACGAAGACTACGAAAATCCGCGTACTACCCATTATTCTCATGGTCATGCTCGCAGTGCCAGAGTCCTCTCTAGTCAAGTTTAGGAAACTCTGTGCTCCCTACAGCCCAGACCTAGCTCGATGTGGCTTTCGCCTGTTTGAGCCAGCGAGGCTACTCAAGGATTCGCATGTTCACCCTTTCGTGTCAGATTTAGACATGCGAAATATGGTGCAAATGTGTTTTCACTACCAACCGAAAATGATTTCTTTGAAAAGAATGCGTTATCTCGTGACCGCTGAGCCAAGCGCATTGATTGCACAGAAAAATGATTAGGGAGAAAAATGAAAACAGAGATTATGCAGACAAATTATGTGCGCAGTATTAACCCCAGTTTCACGTTAATAAACAGTAGAATGTTGAGTGTAGATAGCTTGTGACGTCTTTGTATACCAAGCATGCCCTTTGAGCCTTGGGGACGGCAAGCATTACTGATTTTCTATAGTAATCCTAGCTCTGTATTTTGTGCTAACACGTGACAAAGAGTAACCTTCCCTCTTCTCCCAATTTAGAATGTTTCTACCGTGGAATCATTTGTATTTCAAGAACTGTCTTTGAAACATTATGTTTTCAGCACACTTAATTCTTCCTTAAATGGATATCTTGACGTTCGACGTTAATGAGTTTTACGGCGTCCTCAGGCGGTTATGTTAACGACACTCTCATACTTAAAGATCAATCGCTTCTTTGCAGGCCATTGCTCAAGCTCACAAGTATGGTCTGTCGGCTGCCGTCTTTGCCGCTCGCTGGTGTACGAAACTCAAGACAGAAGCAAAGCTCGTGGAAAACCAGTGTCGGTGAGCTTTAGTTGGCACAGTGTATACGCCGTAGCACAGTGTCAGCCACCTAGATAACGATGACACATACTCAGTTTGAACCAAATCTTATGCTATCTTTCGAAACAAAGAAGAAGAGATAAAAAGTACGAGTTTTTTTACAGGCACGTGCTTCTGGCGCTTCTGTAAGTCTTCATTTCTCCTCTTTTTGGAGCCGCGTCGCTGCTTCAAGCCAAGGCTAAAATACCATCTTCTTGAAGCCACGTGACGCCAACAAAATGATCCAAACTAAACAACGCACACCCACACACACACACGCACACACACACACACACACATGCACTCAAACACACACAAACGCACACACACACAAGCACACACACAAACACACACACACACATGCACTCAAACACACACGCACGCACACAAACACACAGACACGTACGCGTGCACCACGTTTAGTCAACAATGAAGCGGCGAAATTTAGCTGTGAATATTTTGGTAAACAGCTTCAATTCAGGTTGAACTCAAATTGAGCGTTGTAGCTCACCGGCCCCCACCACGTGCATGACGTATGCACGTAGCATTATGAGTACATTGGTGTAAGGTCCCAAGCACACAAGCATTAATAACGATATATTAAAAAAAGTAATTTTATTGATATATAATTTATATGGCTTTGCACCTACATATTTGCTGCCACCACCGCCGTGAGGTCCTGTACAAGGTATAAGAGCGACATCTTTCCGCGCCCTTGTATATGTAATGAAAACTGTGCGATGGCAACAGATGATCACGGCTCTAGCAGTGACAGCTGAGGCGCAGAGGAAATATGGTGTCCATCTGTAGTCGTCAAGAGGCCAATTGAAGATACAGGCGAGTTGCATGACTTCGTCAGGAACTTCACAAATCGAGGGGCCTGGCTCCGTCTCGAGCACCCTATCTTGACAAAAATCAGCACCCGACTCGTACTGTCCGACTTGAATAATTATAGCTCAGTGTTTTATGGTGGGGGGAACGCTTTGAACCCCAAATTATTTCCGCAATTCGCATTGTGTAGTGCCTGTAGCTGCTATTTCGCTCTTCACGCCCACTTTAGTATATATGTTAATGCAATTACCTACCCGACATGACGCCTTCATAGGGCTTTCTTCGCAAAGAAGATTTTAGCACCAGCGTAGTTTTGTCGTAGAATACTCAACAGCCAAGCAGAAAGCCTGAGTTGAAATACCATACAATTATAAATATTTTTCTTTTCGCTTTTTCTCGTTTCGCGTGACAGCGGTTGCGGACACTGCCGACAGTTGCGCACAACTACGATACTTCTGTTGTGTTCTCGTAGCAGCATTTGGTGTAAAATGCCTATCGCTTGCGTTATTATTCACGAGTAAAGAAGCGTAGACAAACTTCTGTGTTACGCATACTCAACTTTAAATGTGCACAATTGCCTTTGAATATCAATGCTTGTGAGAGAGAAGCTTGACAGTCAGTTTTTGTAGTAAACTGATATTCACACATGTAGCGGGCTAAAGCTAAAACGATATCACAGGAATAAACCTTGTAGAGAAATTCATTATTAGTACATTTTAGTTTCAGGTACTTCCCATCTTGGATTATTAACTTAGAAATAGAATTTTAAGGGCCCGTTTTTTTTTTTGTCAGCCACGACACTCATTACACCCCCCAGACCAGAACGTCGGCCACGTCATTTCAAGGTCCTCGTATTTGGTCCCTGCGGGTGGTAATTTACCTTTTCTTCTACATTACTTTATTCACGTTTACATCGCAACTACTACAGACAGCATCCTCTATACTTTCCTTGGCTTCTGAGGATTAGTTCGAAATAACGACATCGAATTGTTAAGGAATGACCTGAACGATTAACAAAGAAGCGCAGCACATATGAAGGCATCCTTCCGTTTCGCTGTCTTCGTTGTAACATACCACACGTGAGGATGCATGGTAATCAGTCAGGATTGACGAGAATTAAACTGTCATTAATTTTTAATGAATCAACATTTTGATGGATTATATTCCTCTGATGATCTGTATAGAAAGTCGTTGTGAGGTTAAAAAAATATTGGTAGGCTGAGACAGCTAGCTTCAAAGGACTGCTCGAATGTGTTGGCAGCGTACTCGCGTTCACGAGCACTTTCGGCCTACCAGGATGTTGTACATATGCCGGTTCTAGAACTTTCCTTACGAGCTGTGCAACGAATGGAGCATTGTTACATTGCCACTGAAGACTGGGATTTTGCCAGGGATTCGGTTGGAATCTCTACAAGGATGGCAAGATCAGTAACTTAAGAGCTATGCTCATTAGCAGAGGAAGCAATCATTTCAAAGCACTGTCACAGTAGTGATTCAAATTTCCCCTTAATTTTTAAAATTTGGTGGTGTGGTTACCCAGTGTTAAAAATGACGATCTATGAATTGTATGGATGGGTATATGCCCAGCCTGAAATCGAAGAAGCGGGTGAAAAATTGTGCAAGACACGTGTGTGATGCTATATTCGAGCCCGAGAATAGTCGGAACATGTTTGTGAATTAGGTTACTACTGCTCGCATGTTCCTCCTTCTCACTTCCCGCTGGCGATGTTGTGTCACCTAGTGCCATATACGGGAATTAAGCGCGCATTGTTGATATAGGCACGGCCAACCAAGTTGTTGGTTAAAGGTTCGTTGAATAGCAACACGTGCCCATGTCAACGGCCGACGTTTCAAGAGAACATGCAGATCCATAAATGGCCCAACCGCGTTGGCCTAGGGGCTAAGGTACTCGGGCTGCTGGAGCAGGTCGCGGGATGAATTCCCGGCTGCGGCAGCTCTAGTTTCGACGGAAGGCGAGAACGTTATAGGCCTGTGTGCTCAGATTCGGGTGCACAATGAAGAACCCTAGATGATCGAATTTCCGGAGCCCTCCCCTACGGCGTCTCTCATAAACATATCGTGATTTTGAAACGG